GTCCACCACTCTCAGGATCTCATCAAAGTTTCTCCCGGTGGTGGCTGGGTACAGGATGGAGAGCTTCAGCTTCTTGTCTGGGCCAAAAATGAACACCTAAGCACAGGGAGACAGGGTCAGTGGCTGGCCAGAAGATGTTTTGTCTGATCTAACCCAAGGAAGTCAACCTAGCTTCTGAAGACAGTCATCATCTCCATCCAGGTAAGCTGCCCCCATGTTCAGGCCCAGCCCCACGGAGACTAGGCAGGGCTTCTGTGAAGGCTGCTGAGCAGTGCTGCCCCAGGGCAGGTACTCACCACACGAGCAGTCAGGGGCATGCCATCCTTGTCCCTTTCATCGGGGTCCAGCATGCCCAGCTTGACAGCCAGCTCCCGGTTGGCATCAGCAATGATGGGGAAGGGGAGTTTCTCCGTGGGTTGTTCTCCATTGTATGCGTTGATGTCCTGTGGGGACAAAACAATAGGCATGCTCATGCTCCCTGCTGTGAGACAGAGGCCAGGCAGGGAGACTTCCATGCACATTTTACATCTGTGGGGCAAGCTCCTGCAGAGGGGCCACACAGAAACATGTTCAGCAGCTGCTCTGCAGGTTCTTGTGAGTTGCTTGGCCCCAAGGTCTCAGGCTGGGACAGCACAGCCAAGAGCTCAGAGCTTTCCATTAAGTTTTTCTGCTTTCAGAAACTAGGTGACAAACCAGAAACCTGTGTACCGGACTCTGCCTTGTCTTCAAGGTTAATTAAGCTGTCTATGCTCATACCCTGTCACTCACATCTGGACCTGCCCATGGACCAGCTGCTTTGTCCAGGAAGTGGGTACAGAGAAACAGGGAATTCCTGCTACTGCTAGTAACGGAGATTTACCCACCTTTCCCTGAGAAGAGAGGTGTCCTCTCCCAAACCTGTAAGTGGTTATCACTACTGATAGATAGATGTGTTGGTATCACACTTGAACTGGACTGCAACCTTAAGGAGGAGTTTCTCAAGTGGCAGAGCAAACCAGCAACTCTACAGCTAACAAAGGCCAAGTGTTGAACACTTCACAGGTCCTGCATGAGGGACCAGCTCCATTCAGCAAGTAACTCCCAGCTTACACAACTAAAGGCTCTTAAAAAGAGAGTGAAAATCTGAGAGCAGGAGCTGGGACTCTGCGTGCTCCTTTCTGAATCATGGCTGGGACAGAAGAAAAAGCCATCCCCTCCTACAGCTGTGCAGCTTTCCCTTGTAACCACAGTTTATAAGGTTGCTCCCTGTGCTAGTCCAAACTTGAAGTGCTTCAAAGGGAAACTGTATTTTGAGCATCTCCAAATCTAGCCTAGGCTTGGGCAAAGCATTCCAGTTATCCTTGTAGTTTGTGGTACCACCCATATGGGTCACGCTGAGCCCTGGCAGGGCTGGGGGAGTCTGCTCATGGCAGCACCAGCAGAGCAGCTGCCAGCATTAAAACAAGTTTAATCCAAGGTTCCTGCCACGGAACAGAGCTGCCTGTTCCTTCCATTCTCTTTATGCTACAAGGAAACAAAATGAACTCCAGTGCTGATGCGAGCCCCTGTGGTGTGTTATCAGCAGAGCTGATAATTTGAGTGTACAAAGGCTGGGGGAACAGGCTGGGTCCTGCTCAGAAGGAACTCGGGGAGGGCAGGGTTGGAAATGCTGCCCCTTGGCACTGCTTGCTGCTGCTCAGAGCACACCAGGCTCTGCACTGCTCCTCAGCCTCTCTCCGAGGCTGACAGTGGTGACATGAGGGGCTGTAACCCTGCCCTGGCTGCTCAGGATGCTGCAACCAGGTCAAGTGGTGCACATGTGGCAAGATGTTTCCTTTACAGCTTTTATATTTGCTTGTTTTTGCCCCATGGCTTTCTGAGTCAGCACTGCACTGCAAAAAAGAGGCTGTTTTTCTCAGCTGGGCTGTGGTCAGGCCTGTCTTGGAAGGAAGGAATTGGTTCTGGTCTCCTGCAGACCTGCCGTTAAAGCAGACTGGGGAAGAAAAGCAGAGCTGGAGAGGCCAACCTAGGAAAAATGCTTCTGAATGCCCCACAGGAATCACAGGAGGCTGTAGATGAAGGTCAGACAGTGACACATGCATGTCTCTTTCTTCAGAGTGGGGGCTGGAGGATGAAGGGACCTTCTGAGAAGCCGTATCTGAACTGTATCAATGGTAACTCGTTCTGAAATGCACATAATTTCTCTACAAAACAGCCTGACAAAACTCACCCTGTTTTGCAATAAGACACCAAAGGCTCACTCACGTTTCATGTGAACTTTTTCTCTCCAGAGTCCAAGCTGAAAACAGACAGGCATGGAGTGATTTATTCACCCCTGACTCACCAAGGCTAAGTCATCAGTGGCCAAGGAGAGCACTGAAACACCCTCTGGCATGCAGAGCATGTGCCCATAAACCCTCCTTAAGGAGCTCATGCATTCGGCCATTCCAGATAAAAAAACAGCTTCATCCAAAGAGAAAGCACAGGTATGTAGAGGGACACTGCACAGAGAGGTCTGCCTACCCAAAGTTTTCCCAACTCCTAGGACTTCTCTCTAAGTTCAGATCTAGTGAAGGAAATTGCAGTATCTTAGATCTCAATCTAGCATTTAATGCAGGCTGCTTCTGCCAGGGCTTACTGTCTCTGGTAAGCTCTTTTTTTTCCATGGCTGGGCAGAATACCCACTGCCCCTGGTCTCACACTTGTGCAGGTCTTACCAGCTGCCTTCCTAGTTCAGCTCTTTGGTGCTTTTTGCATTATCTAAAGTTCTTCTCTGCTTCCTCAAAGTCAAAGGATCACATGTGAGGGCAGCCTGACACATCCTCCCCTTCCCAAGCTAAAGAGTCCCAGTTGCTCTGCACTGAAGCAAACCTGCCCAAATGTGAAGGAAGCTTTGTTCCCTCTCTGAACCTTTTCTTGTTCCCCTGTAGTCTGTGAGATGGGTGATTTCAGACATGGGCTGCATGAAGATGCCAGTCTGCTCGAGATTTGTCCTTGCCGATTGGATCTTTTGCTCTGGAGGACTTTCACAGGGTTGTTTTTTTTGACAGGTTCTGAGCTGACACTTCCAAACTGCTGTCTCTGAGGCCTCTCCCAGCCTTAGAGAAAGCTCACCACAGCTTGGACTGCTGCCCTCTGCCTTGTCTAACACTTGCTCTGGGAGGTTTTCCAAACGTGCTACTCTGCCTCCCATCCCTCAGCGTTGAGAGATGTTGCTGCTGTGCAGCATCTCCTGGTTTTACCTGAGGTTGTGCTGAGTCATTCTGTAGTGTTAGCAGAGTCAGCTCATTGTCCATCTCTTTTCCAGATCACCCTGCTTATCACTTCCTCCTGTCACCCTGCAGAAATAAGCCTGCTCTTGACCAAGCTGATTTCTTTGAAAAGCTTCCTGGAAACTCAAGGACTCTAAAAGTCAGCAATACCCTACAGCTATTCAAAGGGCTTTAGCCAGCCAGGAGATGAGAATTCCTTACAAAAGCAAACCCCAAACTTGCCATTCTATTTAACTGGATGTTATATCTGCTAACTTGACTGGTGGCTTCAGCCAGTTTGACCAATACAGAAACCTTATTAACTGGTGTGGGATTTGTATGCTGCTTTTCCCAGGCTCTTCTGCAGCTGGGTGGGACATCAGCCACATACCACTCGGGTACAAAGGTCAATTTAAGCAATAAGGCAATTAGGTAACTTCTGTAGCCAGTCACACATGAAACTATGTTCAAGTGTGGAAATTTCTCACCTTATACTACCTTTTCTTGCATGCATGTCTCACCCCTGGGATATGTCCAAGAATATTCCCAAATTTAAGAGCAAAGAAAGAGGCAGGTAATTCAATGAGGGATTTTTATACTCTGACCATGTCTGTTTGAAATGCTCATTTTACACCTGTGAGCCCTGGAGTCGCATTCCCTGGCAGCCTGCTGTTGCTGAGGCTGAGTCTGAAGTTTTTCATTAGCTCCTTTTGTGCTCCTTTTGTGCTCTTTCAGCAAGTTATTTTGTTCCCATCTCCTTTTTTTTTTTTAATACTCCCTCATGACGGTTTTATATTTAACATCCTCATATTTGTGGTTTCATGTTTAACATGCCCCTACTTGTTCTCTGTTCTCCTTTCCCTA